ATTTTAGATATTAGGTTCATTTAGGAATGCTTAGAAACAAAAAAAATCCCCAACTTATGTTGTGTTTTTGTTGAATTATTATGTGTGGATGTTGGGATGACATTTCTTGTACTACTTTTAACTAAATCAATGAGAAATGGAACTTTTTGGTAGAAACATATCACATTTCGTATTAGTACTTGCAACACAATGTTTTTAATTGTTTTACATTGGCTGAGACAAAAGTTAAGGCACCTTTGTGCAAAATCATTGTTCAACTACCATTGTTCAACTACCAAATAAACTTGGCTGTCTATTACAAAATACTAATGAGTAGACCTAGGGTCACAGTTGATTGAGATCCTTGTCCTTCTTGCTTGTCATTACATGAAGCTTGGACCTGGTCTGTATTTTGACTTTGGGAGGAGTAGTTGTTGGCACTCTTGTGGGCTGACTCAGGCTCCTGTTGCTCCTGTTAACAGGCTGAGTTGGCAAAGGCTCTGTTCTTGTTGCAGGCTGGCTTGACACAGCAGTTGCAAGTGCAGCATTACTTGACCCAGCCTGTGATGTTGTTGGAGGCTGATATTGTGGCAACTTCAGTGCAGCCTGCAATCACAGTATGACAAGACTCAGAAACAAAGCCACTAAATACACTCAAGTCACAAAATACACAAAATACCTGTCTTGCTGCTTTCTCTTCACTTTTCTTTCTCTGTTCCTTAAGCCAAGGAGTCTGCATCTGTGGCCTCCCACCCTTTGGATTTGTTGCAGGTGGGTTAGGCTGTTCTGGTGCTGCTTCAGCCTTGCATGTTTTGGCAAAGTGGCCAAACCCACCACAGTTCTTGCATTGTTTCTTCACCTTTGGCTTCTTGCCCTCAGGTGCTGCAGAAGTGCCCTCCCCTGGTTCAAGCTTTCTCTTTTTTGCCTTAGGTCTTCCTGGCTGCACTTTCAGCATAGGTGGCAAAGGCTGTCTGAGCTTGACCTTTTCCCAATTCTTAGGGCCAGGCATTGGCTGTATTGGGTTCTCATATGCAGCCAAGTATGTCACCCTATAGTAATGTGGGTGCACATACAACTCAGGATCATCCCTTTTGTCCATTATGCAAGCAAATGCATGGACACAAGGTATTCCTCTCAACTCCCATCTATAACAAGTGCATTTTCTCTCTTGTAGATCCACAATGCACTGATCATCCTTGTATTTCACCTCATAAATTTCATCCCTTGAAGCTGTAACCTCACATGTCATGGCATACTTCTCCAACCCATCAAAGACTTTGTTGACAAATGGGGTTAGTAAACCTTCCCAAGACTTTGCTGCCTCCCATTTGTCATTACTCCTCTTCGTCATATATCTTCTAAGCCATTCCATTTGAGTTAGAATAGGCTTGTCTCTGGCATCTCTAATCACTGCATTAAATGTCTCACACATGTTGTTTAACAACATGTTAGACTTGCAGTTTGTAGAGAAAGCATGCCTAGACCAGTGCTGGGGGTCAATGTTTGACAGCCACTGGTATGCTTCTTCATCCAAAAAATTGATACTTTCCATAGCAACTTCAAACTCAAACTGATACAACCACACACATGACAACCATTTAACACAACATAGACACATGGCATACAGTTTTCACAAAATAGAAAGACATGCAAATATGTGCAAAACTAAATGTTCCTAGCATACATTATAGTTCACCATAAAACTGACATAAAAGAACCTAAATAGAAGCTTACCAGAGTGCTTGCCCTAGCAGCAGCCCAGAACAATTCCTTGAAAGTTGCACCATGAAATTTCAGTTTGAAATTCGACCAAATATGCCTCACACAAAATCTGAGCTCAGCTTTGGGGGCCACATCTGCAAATGCTTCTATGAGACCCTACACACAAGGCAAAACTAACAAGTTAGTGTACAGAAAATTCAAATAAAGCAAAGTAATTTAAACACAAACACAACCCACTTACTTTTTGTCTGTCAGACATAAAAGTCAAGCCATCTCCTTGGTCATACACACAAAGTACCTTGAGCAAGCTCTCCAGAAACCAGCACCAGCTGTCCTTGTTCTCAATCTCTGCAGTTGCCCAAGCAATTGGGAAGATGGCATTATTGCCATCTTTTCCAACTGCAACCAAGATCTGCCTAGGGTATGCCCCTTTTAGATGGCACCCATCCACCCCAATTACTGGTCTGCAACCAGAAATGAATCCATCCCTAAGTGCAGCTAAGCACACAAACATCCTCATAAAAATTGGTCTTTCAATTTGATTAATATCATCCACCACCACATTACACTCACTCCCTGGGTTCCATTTCAGCAGTGCCTTCCCATAGTCCCAAACCTTTGAGTATTGCTCTGATGAAGAGCCATATATTATAAGCTTTGCCCTGCTTCTAGCCAACCAAGCCTTGGAGTATGTAATTTTGATCCCCAAGTCATGCAAGGCCCTGTCCTGAATCTGTTTAATCTTCCATCTGGGGTTGCCCCTGAACTCCTCCAAGTACCTGTCAGCAAGGAACTCTGCTGTCACCTTGTTGTTCATTTTACTCCTAACACACCTATGCTTCAGCCTTAGTGTCTTAATTTGCCAAGCCTCTGATTTCACAAGCCTTGTTGCATAAAACTTGAACCTACACCTAACACCCTTACTACATGTACACTTCACTATCCTACAACTGTTCTTGTTATACACACACTTGCATTTCCTTTTGCAATATGCTGTTAGCCTCTTTGAATCATTGTGAAGAAGGTAATACTCATACTTATTTTCAATTGCATGTTGTCTCAAAGCTTTTCTCATTGTTTGCACATCACTGAACCTTTGACCAACTACAAATTTGATAGCCCTTTCAAAGTATGTCTCAGGGTTAAACCAAGTAACACTACCCTGATCATCATCTGAATCACCTTCCACACTCTTTAGCTCATCAGAATCACAAGCTGCCTCCTCTTCAACCCCCACTTCAATTTTCTGTAGATTTCTTTCTATGTCAAACCCTGTGTCCTCATCATCACTTTGATCCCCTCCTTCAGTAACTCCCCTCAAACTGCCTTTCACCTCACTGTTAATATGGTCTAAATTTTTCTTCAACCACTGTTCATCATCATCAGAGTATAAGTCCTCCTCTCCCTCATCAACTTCTAACTCAAAATCACTCAACTCAGAATCAGAAGACTCTGTATCACCATCCTCATCAGTAAACACATCACTGTCATCACTTAAGCTCCTCACTCTTTCTTTTATTTTTCTCACTAAATTAGCAAAATTTCCAGTCTCATCCCCAACCTTAGCCTTACCCTTATCTGCAGCAGTGAGTTTACCCTTCCCTTTATGTGTATTAGCATTCACTTTCTCTGCCCTAGGAAGCCTTTCCTCAGCCTCTCTGTCATGTATAACAATGCCTTTTAACCTAGGGCTTTTCCTAAATGGCTCTTCTTCAGTGGGCTTACTAAGTTCTGGGCTGGGTTTATATACTTTAGGCCCACCAAACCTCTTTTTCAGTTCCTTCCTTTGTGCAGGGGTTAGCTCATTCCCAGCTATACATTTGAAGGGCGTTTTGTTAGTCCCTTCAATTGGCTCATGACTGGTAACATACATCTCACATGCCCCCTCTTTGTTCACAGGCTCTAGGAAACCATTCACCTCACCATCAACAAGCTCCCTTTTACCATTCACCCAAGACTTGCCCTTTTGTTTATACCAGCAACTAAACCCCCTAGGAACCTTCACATTCACATACACAAACCCATGTATAGCTTCTTGCCTCAAAAAGTGTACATCTATCTTATTTTTTTCCACTTTTCTCATCCAATAAACCCACCCACCATCCCAAGTTAACACCCTCCTATTTTTACCAGCTAAAGAAGGTATAAAGGCACCCCCTACTGTAATTTTTAAGTCCACTGTGTCCATTCTGTAACAACACCAACAAAAGCACACACAACAATAACCAATTTCAGTAATTACAGTAAACAACAACAACCAATTCACCAATTACAGCAAGTAAAAGCAATTCACATTGACTATGCACTAAATTAACAGTAAACAAGTAAATCTAATTAACTAATTATTTAACAAATGCACACTCTAATTCAGTCAAAGATTCGCATAATTAGGGTTTATAATACTTTAATTCACAGATTCCCAAAAAAGGCATACTTTACCCCAATTGACAACCATAAATCCAACGAAATGTACTAATAAAGAGTTTAAAGTACCTCTTGTAGTCAGGAATCTCGATTTCTGTCAGCAAATTACCAAGCTTTTGGTCCCCTCACCCTGTGGAAGATGACAAGAGAAGCTGATGTGTTGCAATTTTGTGGTTCCAGCTCGATTTCAACCACCCAAATTGATCTAGGGTTTCAGTTTTTACAGAGAGAAAGATTAAAATCAAAGGAGAGAGAAGCAGTTACAGTGAGAATCAAGAAAAATCAAAGGAGAGAGAGACGAAAATTGATGAGGAAGTGAGAAAGTTGGTGAGACATTGATTATGGAAGGTGGAAGGTGAGAAAAGGAGGAGACAGAGGGAAATCGATTTTAAAAGAATTAAATTGGAGGGAAGTGACAGTTAACTGGGCCCCACAAGCGTTTTCCGTCACCTGAGCTCAGATGAGGTGGTAAAACTGATGTTTAATTTTTTTATGAGGTGGTAAAGTAAATGTTTTTTTTTGGAGGTGGTAAATTCGACAAAGTCATTATTTGAAGGTGGTAAAAATGAAAATTTCCTAATAAAAATTCATTGTTACATGAAAAGAAGGTTTGTACAATTGTCCTAAATTATGACTTCTGTTTTGTACAAAATCTAAAATAAACTTCCTTAAATATCAAATAACCCATTATAAATATTGTATGTGTTTAATTATATTCTTTTGCATATTTATAATTTTAAAAAATATTTCTTACTTTTTAATATTTGGTGAATCTATTCATAAATTTTAGGTACCATTATTTTTTGTCAAGTTTGTTGTCGTTGTAAATATTTAGCAATGGTGCATTCCACGGGGTTTAATCTAATTAAATATTAAAAAAAAGCTTTAGTTTGAGTTCCGGCCGAGCAAAGTCAGGAATAAGCCATTTCCGTGGGAGAAAAATTGCAATGGTTGCGGCAGTTTTTGAAAGAGGTGAATGGCCAATCTCATTGAACATGAACCAGAACCTGGAGACTTCCTTTTTCATTTTCCTGAGAAATTGAAATTGACACTCTCTCTATCGTCCGTCATTTTCCGTGGATCAAAGTGAGTGAAATTGTTGAATTGCTGTATTCTAGCTTCGAAGATGTCGGGTGAAAGAGATGATGGCGATCAGAACCATGTGCTGCTACTGAGATCGACCGTCGAAGAAGACGCCGGTGAAGGTGCCGGTGCCGGCGGAGGCATCAGCAATCTGATTTTCTAAACTTAAAGCTCCGATGATTAATCTGGATCGCGGAGGAAGTGGTCGGCGCCATGGTCTTAGCCTTAACATGAGCAGCCGAGATCATAGAGAGAGTTGGAACCAAATTGGGGATGAGGAAGATCCCCCTGCCTCCTCTTCCTCTTCTCCTCATCGTCGTCGTCATCATCTTGATTCCGACTCTCAATCTGGCGGAGAAGCCCTCGGCGATCCTCCAGAATGGGCTTTGCTTCTCATTGGCTGCCTTCTCGGCCTCGCTACCGGCCTTTGTGTTGCTGCTTTTAACCGCGGGGTACTCACTCCTTCAATCTATTCTTAGTTTATAAATATTGTTTGAATTGTATCATTACTCTCAGTTTTAAACTTTTGATTGCCTATGCATTGTTAATTGAGCTATTTGTTCCTAATCAATGGCTAATGTGTGTTGTTGAACTTGAATTACTTTTAAAATTGATTCTATTGCCGTGGGTTTATAGAATGGAGAAATTATATTTGTGTTATTTGTTTTTTTAGTACATTAACATTGCATAAAGGCTGAGGCTAGCTAGTTTATCTTTGTGCAACCAGATCATTAATTGGCTGAGTAACTATCCTACCGTTGTTTACCAATTTGTCACCCCGTGTACGTGCGTAGGTGCATGTCATTCATGAATGGGCTTGGGCTGGAACTCCAAATGAAGGCGCTGCTTGGCTTCGCTTACAAAGACTTGCAGATACTTGGCATCGTGTACTTTTGATCCCAGTCACTGGTGGTGTTATTGTAGGTATGATGCATGGTTTGCTTGAGATATTGGAGCAGATTAAACCCTCTGGAAGCTCAAAATCTTCGCAAAGACAAGGTTTTAATGTGCTTGGTGGAGTATTTCCCACAATAAAAGCCATTCAAGCAGCAGTGACACTAGGCACTGGCTGTTCCTTAGGTCCTGAGGGTCCTAGTGTAGATATCGGAAAGTCGTGTGCTCATGGATGCTATATAATGATGGAAAATAATAGAGAAAGAAAGATTGCTCTTGTTGCAGCCGGTGCAGCTGCTGGAATTGCTTCAGGTACTGAACTTTTTGGTTCAAGTGTGGCTCTCATTTTATCGGCATGTTTCATCTTCTGCATGCATACATATGTTTATGTGCACTTGAACTTGCTTTTCACTGCTAATCTAAGTTGTTTTATTATATTTTGTTTTACTTGTCCGATTTTACCGTGCATTATGGCATACATAAACTCTCTCAGTCTTTTACCCTGTCTATCCTTTATGGTTTTGATGATGTTTTTCGTTTGCTGACCCACAAGATCCTAAATTTGGTGACGGCCAGGATCTTGTGTAAGTTCATTATTTATAGAAAAGGAAAATTACAGAGAAGGATGACAAGGATCCCTTTAAAAAAGACAATCTCATTTAAAACCATACTTGCCATTCATAAAAACTCTGGAAACATGTCCTGGCACAATGAGGAGTGGCAGGACCATAGTCATTTCAGATTGAGACAATGGCTTCAATGTGAATGGAGGTTTAAATAGGATGATCTTTATTTATCCAGGAAGGTCCATGCTGTGATTTGCAATGATGTCTGCCACCATGATACTGTGAAATTTCTGTGGCTGTCACAATAAAATATTGTTTCACTCTAGGTAGAGATTTGGTTGAGCTTGAAGTTCAGTGATTGTTTTTCTTTCATTTTCTCTCCCTGTCTCAATATTTATCTCCCTTCAATCATATCTTCTCTATATTATCTAGAGATGGCATGGATGGAGAAGAAGTAAGTGAAAAAAAAATGCATAGAAAAGGGCATAGAATGATTATAGGATAGGAAAATTGTCAATAATAAGCCAATGTTTGACCGATCTTCTCAAAATAAGTCAAACTTTTACTTAACTCAAAATAAGTTCAACTTTTGGGGGTATTATCCTAAAATGAGTAGTTATCTGTTGGTAACCGGTTATATAATTTACCTTGACACGTGTCATAATATCTTCGGTTTGGGTTTTTAATTTTACCTCAAATAATAATAATAATAAATTTTAATTCTTTTAATCTAATTAAATATTTTAATAACCCATTCTCTCCCCCCATCCACCGACCATTGCCCACCGCCCGCATTCTCTCTCCTCCCTCCACTACCCTTTTCACCCTCTCCTATTCTGCTCTTTGTGCCACGTTATGAACACTAGGCCAGAAGACCTTGATTTGCATCACCAAAAACCATAATTTTCTCATCAATCTGCTGCAGCCATGGGTACAATCTCTTTCTTCTTTTTCAGACTACCAATTTTTATCAATTTCAAACATCATTCTTCTTCAATTCAATCTGAGTTATTCGAATTTTTCATTGCAAGTTTGAGGATCAGGTGTAATGGCTAAAAGGGTGGTTGTCGATGCTCGACACCACAAGTTGGGGCGTCTAGCCTCCAGTTGCCCAGAAGCTTCCTACGGGCAGCGTGTTGTTTGTTTGTTTCGAGGGGATTGCTCTTTCTGGTGGTCTAGTTAGGCTTAAGATGAAGTACTTTCGTTTTCTTCGTACGAGAATGAACATTAACTCTTCTCATGGTACTATTCATTTCCGTGCTCCTTCTAAGATCTAATGGCAGTGGGTTTTAGAAGACGGTGGTTTTCGGCGGTGTGGTCAGTGGCTTGAAAGAGGTGGTTGGCAAGGTGGTCATCGGTGGCTAGGGGACGGTGATGGAGGAGATGTTGCTATGGTGATGATGGAGGTAGTTAGATTTTTTAATTTTTATTTTTCAAGTAGCAAGGTAAATAATTTCATCCGTCAATGACCTAATTTCATCAGTCACCTGGCAAGGTAGCTTGTACACTCTCATAATGCAGGTAGGGATGGCTTGGATAATGACTTTCACAAGAATTTCTTTTCCTGAAAGTAATTTCTCTTTCCATCCCTGCAATTTCTTCCGGTCCGGATTCTATCTTTCAGAGGTGCATAAACCATTCTTTTCGACCTCCCTATAATTGTCGGAATGCCAAGGTAGTTGTCATGTGCATCTTCTACTATCATCTGCAGAAAATCCACCAACTTTTCTCGTTTTGACATACTAACACCTTTGCTAAAAGAGATCTCCGACTTCACATAATTAATTTTCTGAGTGGAAGCTGCTAGTAGCACCTGCGCCATGAACAAGTATGTGGTCCGTAGCCTTTTTTATCATAACAGATGAAGGCATCGGCTATAATAATAAAAAGATCCGGGGAGAAGGGATCACCTTGCCTTAGAATATACACTTTGATTAATAATAAAAGAATACTACACTATCAAGATGCAACTCATAACCACTCTAACCCATTGCTCCGCAAACCCCATCTTTAGAAGCAACTTTTCCGGTAAAAACCACTCCACTCTATCATCATGCCTAATTTCAAGGCAATAGTTCCCTTTTTGCTTTTACTCCTCTTTTTCATAGTGTGAAAAATTTCCATAGCAATAAGAGCATTATCTGTGATCAACCTTTCCGGAACAAAAGTACTTTGATTCTCAGAAATTACATTTAGGAGAACTAATTTTAACTTCATCACTATCGCTTTCGAAACAATCTTGTAAAGCACATTACATAAAAAAACAGGACGTTATTTGTTCTTAGAAAAGGGGAACTATGTGCATACACAAGCTGCTGGTATGTTCGGTAAAAGGATGTTTGGTTCACC